ACTCATGAGGGTTAAATTAAAACTATACAACATAAAACTACCAGTCTTCTTGAACTGGCTGGAACACAAGCTTTGTTAAAGTTGTTCTAATTTCAAACAGTATAATTTATTATATCAAAGGCTAGAAGATTTACATGAAACCATAGATTCAAACTTCTTACGAACTCAAGTCTACCTTTGTACTGTTCTATTTAATTTGAGACCAATACTGGAATTCCCAAGAGAAAACAATTTTCTGTGCAATGTAGAGTTTGCAGAAATACCAAAAATTCCCACATACAGATATGTGCAGATCTACCAACTTTGTAGTAAAATTGCTTGCTGTTCAAATCTACATAAATTCTGGAATTACCAAATCTCTTGGTGAAATGAGGTAAATAGGAAAAATGAATAAATGAACATTTGGTTAATGGAGCTTAAACATATATGCCATAGTATGTTTCTTCAGAAAAAAGTCAATTCTTGCGTCAAGAGATGCTACTTTTTGTATCAAATATAGTTACAAACATGCTTTTTAATTCTAATGCAGAAAGTACTTCTTTATCTATAGAATATAGCTTTTTCTCCCCACATTGGCAGCTTAGTACAACTTTTCTTATAGTATCCATTTTATTCCCAGAGAATGTAACTATCTTTTAATTTCAATATATTCAACTTCTGTATCAGAACATTCAGTATTTTCACTCTGCTTTTAGAAATAACACTGCATGTTGCTCACGTATCTAACTACAAATTAAGTTCATTTTTATGTATATTAACATCGATAGGTCATTTCTCCTTTTTGTTATCTAAACTAACCTACATAATTGTCAATGTTCCTAGATAGAATTATCTAATTCTAATTCCTCAAAGCCATGAATTAGTAATTAATTTAATTTATTTCTGCTTTTTTTTATTCATTTATATTAATAGTTAGATTTTTTTAATTTTATAACTTTTACAATAATTTGCAAAATGATTTGACTTTTTACATTTATAACAGAATTTTTTACTTAATTTCTTTTCCACTGTACTTACAACGGTATCTTCATTTTTAATTTTTATTTGATGTGCACTTATTTCTGCAAATTTACCTATACAAAAATTTTCAGTACTTTTCCATTTTACCATTGCAAGCCTCAATACACAGACTTTATTAGTGATAACCCACAGTATACACGTAAAAAAAGTGTTAATAAATGTTAGTTCCAACAATTTTTTACTTTGAAGGCATAAACATTTTAGTATCATTTAAATTTTTTTTCAAATGGGTCTTTCATTTCCTGTCTCCATATAAATTAACACATTATTGCGAGATAACTTTCCAGATGTCATTCCTCTGTGTTTCTTATTTCGCCATTTGACTCTACCTCACAAAGTTTCTATTTTTTGCGTCTACATGTCAGTTTCCGAATTGACAAAATTGTATTTATGTTTCACTTTGAAATGTACGAAATTTTCCTTTTTCAGTTTTTTAGTGTAGTATAATTTCCACGAATTAGAATATTTATAGTTCCTTTTTCAATATTTTCCTTAATTGTTTCTAATGGATCAGTTTGGCACCTTCACAAAGAAACATTTGTTTGTTTCACTGCAAACTCTACCAAACATCCACCATTGTAGTAGAATCTGTTCCACATTTAAGTAAAGATTACACACAAACTTCACTTATGTAGTTATTCCAGTTCATAACTGTTTCGTGACTGATTTCCAACTGCTTTTCAGAACGCATAACTGAAATCAATTGTTTGTTCCAACCATAAATAAACCCCACACACTTCAGGAAACTCAATTTCGATGACTCAAACCATGTGCCTTTCCAGATATTTCTTTTACTGTGACAAGTTGAAAGGTTGCAGCGCTATTGAATTTAGTCTCTGAAATACAATTTCATTTCATTGTTATTATCACAAGTAGCAATTTTAGGCAAAATGCCTTTCACTTGAAAGAATGAGAGATTCTTCCTCTGGTTCTAGGCAAATCCCATTGGTTTTTTTATCCAGTTTTCATTGGGTTTTTTATCCATATTTGACATACTAGGGAAAAGATGTGCTAATAAGAAATGGCCACGACTTGATTTGAACATGTGGTAAAAAGTTACTAGTGGAGATATTTCGTTTGGTGTTGGTTGTATCGTTTTTGGCAACTTTATCGCCTGCGCCGGTGAAATAGGAAAGTAAGGCTTTTTCTAATGTTAAATCTGTCTTATGCTATAATCTTGCTCTCACTGTATTTTTTCTAACACTGTTAAGCAATTTTGTAATTTATTAAATTCTCTTCTTTATGTAGACAAAGTCACAATCTAGTTTTGTTTTGAAAGTCACTTACTTAATCATCTGTGGTTTCTGATGTTGTTTGATAAAGAAGAAATATCTTTCATATGTAATATATTTCTGAGGTATATAATATTTCCATAAGTTTTATCATAATTTTGCTTAATTTAAGGTTTTTTACCATTTTCTACGTGGAATGTAATATGTATTTAAAGGTTGTGAATTCCTATTATATGAAGAAAAGTATTAATTCTTATCTTTTCTTCTTTATTATGTAAGCCACTTGCTACTTCATAAATTTCAAATACATCGTTTCTGGTTAAAGGCAAGATTTCCATCCAATTTCATTCGCTGTGGTGATTTTAAACTTTCTACTTAAAAAAAATAAACTCTCTTGACACCATGTAAAACAGAGAGTGTTCAACTATAATTATAATAACTTATTTATTTATACACTCCTCAAAAGTGAAATTGCAACACCAAGAAAGAATGTTTGTAGCATCGTCTAAATTGCAGGATCGAGAGTTGTGAGATGAATGTGCAAATGATTCAAAAACAGACACATAAAATTATAATAAACCAATTTATTCAGTATCTAATGTGCCCACCTCGAGCAATGATACAGGTCACAATCCGGCGAGGCATGCTATCAATGAGTTTATTGATGGTTGCCTAAAGCAGCCTTTGCCCAGCCACATTCATTGATGCATGCAGGTCTTCCAGGGTTTGCGGCTATGGTCCTCGGTTAATGTTATGTCCAATAACATCCCACAGGTGTTCAATGGGATTCAGATCTGGAGAGGCTGCTGGCCAGAATACAATGTCAAATCCATTCAGGCTGTTAAAAGTATGCCGTGCGACATGCGGTTTGGCATTGTCTTGCTGTAATACCGTGTTGGGTGCACTCTACAAATAGAGCAGAACAACAGGCTCCACAACTTGTGTGATGTAGCGGAACTCTGTCAAGCTGCCGTTAATGTGTACCAGGGGCATCTTGTGATCAAACATTATACCACCCCCAAACTATAATGCCCGGTGCAGGACTGGTGTGATGTTCGGCGGAATGGGCTGTTTCATAGCGTTCTCCAGGTTGCCGCCATATCTGTCCACGGCCATCATTCCTCCACAGATAGAAATGAGATTCATCCATGAACAAAACCTAATGCCATTTGATGGTCCACACAGTATGATGCTGACACTACACCAGGCGTCTAGTCTTTTGTTCAGCAGTCAATGGTACCCATAAACGTAAGTGTACTTCATGCAATCTATTCAATAGATTTGGTGGACACAGATCCACCTGCTCCTGGAGTCAACTGGCTTTGGATATCATGTGACGTAGAGAAAGGGTCTCCGATAGTTGACCGCCGAATAAGCTAGTCTGTGCTCTCTGACATGCACCTTTATGCACCACTTCTTGTATGATGAGCATGTATGACTTCCTGAAATCTATCATGTAACACAGCATTGGATGGTATTCACATTGTACCCAACACGAGTGGCTATTGTGTGCAGCCACAAACCAAGTTCATGGAGTTTGATAACACGGTCACGCTCCCTGATCGTAACTGATGGTATTGAGCCAATTGAGCTCACCCGAAGTCTCGGAGGCATTTTCTATGCTTCTTCTAGCGTCTCCAATGCTCCATAAAGCCTAAGGTGCTGTTTAGGAGAAGGGAAAGTGGCTGACCTTTATAGCCCGCATATGTGTACCATATGATTCAATGCGTGTGCAACTTTTATCATTTGCATATCCACCTCACAACTCCTGCAATTTGCATGACGCTACGTGCATTCTTTCTTGGTGTTGCAATTTCATTTTTGAGGAGTGTATATGCAGAATTCTAAAGCATGGTACAGAACTGCTTACCTGATGTTGTAACATATCACCAATTGGTTGCTATTCACAAGTTTCAAATTCTAAGTGTTACATTCTGGCTAGCTGGAGTTCTGCTTAATTCAATCCTATCCAAACTTTAAAGATACTTTTTTTTTTTTTTATTTCAGAAAATTTTATATCAGTTTCCAGATAAAATTCATTTTACAATATTGATTATTTAAACACCATTTTCAAAACTGCATTATCATGGTTTGCCGTTTATGGATGCTAATTAGAAACTTTAACCTAGGCTTAAAGAGAAAATTTACCAAACATTGGTTATGTGACAAAAGCAATAAAACACTTGAAGTTTTGTCTTATTTTTTTTTTTTTTTAGCCTAGAGATGAAACAGATTAATTGCATTTTTGTTTTTATGGCTTTCTTAGAAATTTGAACCTCTATCACCTAAAAAGGTTTTCATGAAAAAAACCTCTGTGCTTAAGTGCATAGCCTTTACATGCTTGCCTTAATTAAATTAATTTCATTTATACATCTAGAGATGCAGCTTTAACCATAATAATTTTTAGGATATTGAGGCATTATTGGATGGTAAGATTAAACTACTTCTGTTACTAATGTATTGCAAGTTACAGAATCAAAATAATATATAATGAACTATCAATTAAAAACAGCAAGTAAAGAATTAAAAGTTGGGTATTTATTTAATTCTGTTTATTATGTGTAAACTAACAAACTTTTTTCATTAGTTGTAGCTAAGTAAATGGTGTTCTGGTAACTGTACTCATTATTTACATTTGGAAACCACAGAATATAACTTAGGATCACAAAAATAATTTTTTTTAAATTATTTTATTTGTTCTGTTTTTATATATTTTCAGTTTTTAAAAATTTGTAATATTATTTTCAGAACAAAAGAATAGATGATCTTAACCAAACAATAGATTCACAGAGAAAGGTTGTATTAGGTCTTCAGCTGGATAATGAAAATTTAAGTCTTCAGCTGAATGAAGAGATGCAACAAAGAAGTCTAGTCATGGAAAAGTAACTTCTTTTTATATTTTCAAAGTCCATGAATTCTTTTCCGTAGTAAATCCTTTTTGTATCATGCTATATAACTGTATTTTTCTTGCTTCATTTCTCAGGTTCCTTTCTGCTAAGGAATTTTATTCTGGTTTGAAAAGACATTCTAATATTTTAAGGGAACATTTTGAACGTCGTAAGTAATTTTTGATTGAATTATAGTGTTATTATCTTCATACCTTATATTATTTAAGCTTATTTTATAAATTATTATAGGTGATAAAATAGAAGAAATATTTAAAACTGCAGATTCACAGAGGTTGCAAATGATTGAGGTAAAATTGTATTAGTAATTTCTCTTGTTTTTAAATAATATTCTAATTAGAAGTCCAAATAAAAATATTTCAGATATATTATGTTTTAATTATTTCCATAATATAGTCATTAATTCATTTATTACAGGATATTAGGAATAAATACAGTGACCTCTGCATGGAGCAGTCTGAGAAAATAAGTTATTTACATAATTCTTGTAAGTTTTGCTATGTAATAACAAAAAATATTATAATTATATGCAAGGAATACTATTTGCATATATAGGGTTGTAGCAATAACTATATATAGGGATGTAGCAATAACTATGTATAGCAATAATAATAATGTATAGCAAATAATAAAATAATTACAATTTATCATGCAGGTCTCTCCCACTATATAAATCCTAGTTTATGAAATTTTCCCTTTTACAAAAAAACCTACATTAAAGCTTTTCCGCTTTATGAAAGAAATATGAAAAAGAATTTATTTTTGTGAGTAAAAATGAAATTTAAAAATTACTTTCCGTATCTTTTTCATGCAATGATTAAAGAAAAGTATGATTCTAATTATGAAAGAGCACACAAATTTAGCATAGCTCTGTAATATTTCTTGTTGCCTACAGAATATTAGAAGATAAAAAAAAATATGACAAATTTTTAGAGTGATATTTAAACAGACACACATACTGTTGTATTTTTAAAGCCTTTCATATTTACTATGGTAAATGACAAATCTTAAGTTTAAGCATTAAGAGAGAGAAGCTGCATATTTTGAGACGTGGAGTTACAAATGATGGTCTATCACTATTTAAATATCTGAAAACTCAAAACACTTATCATCATTGCATCAACTTCTCTTAAACTTGTTCATTATTTTTCTAGCTTTGGAGGTTAAACTGCCTTATACGGTCAAAAGTCGTTAATCCGGACTCATCAGGATTTCGGCGATTTCGGATTATCGATTTTTTCCGGATTATAGATCATCAGTTTAAATCTGGTAAAATGGCATGCAGAAATTATAAAATTAAAAATATGAAACCTTAATTTACAAAATAAAGAACAATTATGATCTAAAGGGTATCAAAATTTACAAAAAAGAAAAAAAGCTTAATATTTATTTGTTTATTTTATTAAACATTTCTTTCAATGTAAGTTGTTTAAGTTGCTACATTTTTTATGTGATAATACATTCTCTTTAATTCCATAAACGGACATAATTTCTTGTTCAGTTACAAAGTTCCGCTGTTCAAGTCCTATAATTGCTGTGTCGAGAATACTGACTAATTTGTCAATCGAAATTTTTTCGTTTTCAATAACCTCTGTCACTTTCTTCACTATCGGAAGCGAATTATAATGACGAGGCATTTGATTTAAATCATATCAAAGATGGAGTACATCGAGAGGAAATACCACATTTAGTAAGCAATTATAAGCCAAATAAAATAAAAACATCTGCCCTTAAGGTAAGGATAGTGTTGACAGATCAACTTCCAATTCATTGCGCTCCGCGGCGTTAAAGATAAACAAAGTTTAGATAAACAAACGTTAAAATTTAGATAAATAAAGGATATGCCTTTATCCATTTTTTGCAGCAATTCCACTTTTTGTTTAATGGACTCCGAAAGATACTTTCGCTTTGTATATCCTTTACATATTAGTAAATATATATCGGAAATTCTATTTGAAATAATCGTTAGTCATACAGTTCAAGTTCAAGCTTACTTTTATAAAATTGCTCTAACAGTCTGCGAAAAATAATAAGCGGCATCCAATTCGAAGATTAAGGAACAACGCAATCTGCAACATTAACTGAAATAGATAATTAGATAATTTTAGCTTAGCTTATCCCATCCGTTATACATTAAACACGCATTCGTAAACGTATTTTGCGCACGCGCACACGCAAATTCGCAGCCATAAAGGTCTTACGCGCATGCGTCAACGTGGCGCATGCGCAGAAAGTTTGTAGCTTTGAGGTCCGGATTATAGATCATTCTGGATTATGGGTGTCTGAATTAATGACTTTTGACTGTATTAGTTGTTTTCATATATTTGAATTCTGTATTAAACTATAAATATATTATTCTAAATCTTAATGTTATTTTACAGTTTTTTACTTCCTTGTACGAAGTAAAAAGGAAGTATTGTAATCGCGAAAAGTTTCAGGCAGCATATTTCAACGAAAATATCCATTTTGACCGCTATTGAATGCAATTTAACGATGTTTTTGCGTGATATCTGTATGTAAGGACCGAATAAAATACTCTTTTCCTTCCCCCCCGGAAAAAAAAAAACTATAAAACTGCTTTAAAATTAATTCTGAAGAGAATTTTTCGTGGCGTCTGTATGAATGTACGTACGTATCTCGCATAACTCAAAAATGAGTAGCCTCAGAACGTTGAAATTTTGTATATAGGACTGCTATAACATGTAGATGTGCACCTCATATTTTGGTTGCAATCGGCCGCATCAAACGCATATAAATATATTTATATATATATCCACTCTGTTACACGGCTCAGTAATCTCAGTTTCTTTACTCTTATATGTTGGTAAATTGTACATTTTTTGCTTTAAAAATGATTGAATTATGTTGTTTTTATCTTCCAGTTAAGGATTTTATGCCTTTAGTAAATCTGTGTGCAATATTTTTAAAATTATCAGCAATTTTAAAGTTGTTTAATTGCCGCTAAGCCTTTTTTAATGGTGGCCATTGATGTTTACATTTGAAACAGGAGACTAGTGGATTTGTTGCCAATCTAGAGAAACTTAGCTTCGCAACAACAAAGATAACGCATTCATTTATTATTGCCAATTAAATCATGCTTAATTCTTTCTGGAATTTTTTCAAGGAAATAAGTGTTTGAAATTTACTTGGTAATTTTTGATACAGATATTTTGAGTTTTTATGTATTTTTGCCTTCTCGTGAAGTGAAAACTGAATTAGTTAAATGAGAAATACTCAATCGTCTGTGAAAAACTGTTTCTTTTTTTTTTGTTTTGTTTGCTTAATTTCTTTTATACATCATTCTAGCTTTATTATAATATAGTATTTGAATAGAACATGTGGCAACGATTAGATAATTCTTTTCTTTAAATGATATAAATTTTGTGCATTATGATTTATAATATGAACGAAATATAATATAAGTTAACTGTTATATAATTATTGGATATTATAACAGTTAACTTAGTTTCCGTTATATAATTATTATATAAGTTAACTGTTATATAATTATTAATACTGTTAAGTGAATCTAGCGCCAGAGTGTCACTATGGTAAACAAATACTAGAGTGAATTTTAAAGAATGCATTGATTCTATTGTGGTTTATGCGCTGTCAGCGAAGTAGATTTAATTCAATCCAATAAGTTTAAATGATATGCAAGAAAAAATGCGCATAATTTAATATTCCAATACAAGGAAGTCATGTGGTGTACACATCAGATTTTTTATTTTTGGATGCCTAGGAATGTCTTTTTCTATATAAATTAATTTTAAGTGTTCTTTGCTTTCTGTGAGTTTGGTTTATAAAAGACTTCATAGTAATGCTGCTATATAATACAGCATTGAAAATTTTGTATCAATAACAGGTTATTTTTGTTTAATAACTGTGTAGGGTTTTTATTTATTTTAACTAACATTTATTTTAAGTTTAAACTATCTTTCTTGTCAAGCCTTACTTTCCCCTGGAACTGCCAATGCCAGAATATGTAAATTTTAGTAGAACGCGCAAGGATTCAAATTATCAGCGGAAGTAGTATGATTTAAATAGAGAGGAAACAAGTTCGGTGTGTGATATCCTTACTGCACGAGCGCAGAGGTAGTTAGCGAGAATTGAAGAACCCCGTGTTGCGGCCTATGTGCTTGGCGGGAAGTAGTGGTAATCGTTCCAGTGAGCTTCAAGTCTGCTGAATTAGCAGCGGTATTGTAAAAACGGGTCGGTGAGTTGAGTTAGTTATTTTAGAGAGCCTTGTAGTTAGAATCTTGTCTTTACTTTCTTTTCAGGTTATTATTTTTATTTTGACTGCCAAGTTGGCACAGTCTGTGAGCGTCAAGAGCACACAATTGTAATTTTATTACGTTGAATAAAAAGGGACTTAAACCCTTCACAAGGCTCTATCTTTTATACAAGTTTTCACAGTCACCTCTTGGTTGCGTGCAAGTTGGAGGCGCGCAACGTTACAACTGCATTTGCGAATAATGCACATTTGTTTAACAAAGACATCTTATTTATCACATTATGCAAGGCAAGCATTTGTATGTTTATCTTTCCTTTGAATCGCAAAATAGCATGTGAATTCCAAATGAAAGAATTTACCTGCTTACTGTTTTGTTCTTTCAATTCCTTTTAGCCAGCTGATATTTTGACATCTAATATTTGAATTTTTAGATCTATTGCAGAACAACACCAAGCAGTTTTCTTCAGAAGAAACATAGTGGCCTATTGGAACCATTAAATTAAATGTTTTGTGCTTTTTTTGTGTCTTATTATTGAAAACAACATTCTGGTTGTCAAAGTAAATGTTGTCAAAAGTTCTAAAGCAAGTCATTCTATTTTGGTCTTTGCTCATTAAAATAACTAACTCAAAAGATTATATTTCTTTTGTTTATAAAATTTTACCTTAATCAAAATAAACTGATGATGAAAGTGTATTTCTGTGCTGGAAGTATGAAGTTGGCATAAATATCTTTTCAGAGAAAACTGTTGGTGTATATTGTCTGTTTTTTAAAGAAAGAAAATTTAAATATATAATTCTTATAATGTAAGCTGGAAGCTTTCAGTTGTCTTTTTTTAGATATGCCACTTTAAATTCTTAGTTATTGTTACTTACCTACTAATCATTCATTTCACATTAAATTGTCTCATTTAAAATGCTGGGAAGCTACCCAGAGAGGCAGCAGAAAAAAATAAGGTCTGAATCTGTATCTTTCTGCCTTCAGTAAAAGTTCAGCAGCATGCAAACTTTTATTGGAGCAGACAAAGAAGAAAAACAAATTTTTATACAAAGTGTCAAGATAGCAAAAATTTTTAATGCATTTAAAGAAAAGCTCTTTAATTATAAATTTAATAAATATGAAATTTTTATTAGATTTTTGAGGCAAAATTTTGTTTAAAGAATGCCAGTTAAGTACTTCCTAAAAAATTTAAGGAAATGGGTCTACAAATGGTTATAATATTTCAAGTTGTAAGTAATTGATGTATGAAATTCCTTTGTGTTAGGTATTTCGGAATGGGTCATGGTGTATTCAAATGTGTTAGTTATTTTGTTAAGAAATTTTTCTTTTTAAATAAAAGTCTAGATAATAAAGCAAATAGTATATAGATTCTTATGTTAATACTGAAAAATAGTTGTCAATTTACACGGAGTTCATATGGTCCTTAAGAGTCCTTAGTTGTTTTTGCAATCGATTTTTCGTCCTTAAAAGTCCTTTATTTTGGCTAAAATCGGCAGAAGGATTTTAATTTTAATCATCTGAATTTTCTGTCATGTTTTTACGACTGTTAGTTTGAGTGTGAATTATCATTTTGGAGCAATATTTTTGACGATTCACTGACAAAAATGATTATCTTTTGAAAGGGTACATGGGCTATAATTTGTTCCTATTTCTAATACAAAGTGAGGATACTGGAGTTTCTGAGCAAGGAGTCAAACATAAGCATTTTAAAATTACAGTACAAAGTCCGAAATCCGGACGTCCATTATCCGGAATGAGCCAAAATCTGGACCTCAAAGCCACCAACAAAATTTTTTCTCGTAGGCTTTACGCATGCGCATTTGATTTTCCCCTCCGAACATAATAAAACATCTGGAGAACTTTGACTTCAATTCAACACTAAATAAAATACCTTGTTATTGAAGAAATAATCGTTTTAGCATAAATTTGTATGATCAGTAATTTGGCTCCGTATCTGCTTGGCACACAACTCAAACCGAAACATTCCATATAGATACACTGTTGATCTGACGCCAACCTGGTGAATCATTATTTATTATACTTTCCTTTCATCACCGCATGTTTATCAAAACATGACAACTTGAGTAATGATTCATGTAGTGATGCCTAAACAATTTTTTTTATGTTCGTAATTGAATAATAAAGGAGTATGGTAGCCTTTTATGTTGACATTACGCTTGGTGATGATTACAGATTTAAGTTAAATTTGCTAAAAATGTTCACTAGGAAAAATTTACCAAAAATTTCTTTCCATATGCTAAAAATAGATTTTGTTGGTTATACTCATAGACCCAAAGATTACATTTGGGCTATTTGAATTAAGAATAACTGATTTGTTATTCACATAAACTCAGAACCAGTACTATGGCTCGTATGCCCGCACAGAGTCACAGAATTTAGGACCCTCAGAGACTGCATCAGGCAATAAGATATCTAGCGCCAGCCCTCAATAGGGCTTAAGTATATGTGGGAATTTATTTATTCAGACCTCTGATAAGCCTTAAGCATGCACAAGAAATAGACATAAGTATAATAAATAATTAAACTAATACAATTCTGGCTTAATTGTCTCAGTGCATGGTAGAAGCAAAATAAAATTTAATGGAACAACTTGTTGTTAGTCGCCAAGCTCATGATGCATAGCCAAATATGTATAGTGAAGGATAGCTAAATTTGATGATAATAGCCACTAATTTTAAAGGTTTTCGGATATCGCAAAACAAAGGCAAAATATTCCAATTAACAGATTTTGTGAATAAATGCGGAGAAATGGTAATAAATGAAGATGATATAAAAGAAGTTTTTCATTGTGATGACAATGCTTCTCAATCATCAATCAATTACTGAATGGTGAAACCTGTAGTATGGTTCTAGATCCGGAAAATACCGCTACGGATAGTGAAGAAAGTGAGAGAGAAGTTACTGAAAACGAGACAATTTTGATTGACAAGTTAGTCGGAATTCTCGAAACAGCAGTTACAGGATTTCAACAATGTAACTAAACAAGAGATTATGTCTGTCTACAAAATTAAAGAGAAAGTATTAGCACAAAAAACGTGCAACTTAAACAACTTACATTGAAAGAAATGTTTAATGAGGTAAACAAATAAATATTAAGTTTTTTTTTTTTTTTTTTTTTTTTTTTTTTTTTTTTTTTGTAAATTATCATACTTCATTATTTCATAAATCACGATTTCATATTTTTAATTTTTATAATTTCTACATGCCATCTTACTAGATTTAAACTGATGATCTAATATTCGTAAAAATCTCAAATCTGGAATCGTCGAAGTCCCGATGAGTCCGGATTTCGGACTTTGTACTGTATTTCATTTTTTTTTCTAATGAAGAGCTCTTGAACAACTTTCTGCTTTTGGGGATGTGAATTCTTTTATTAAACAGCTCTATATTTGCTGACTTATCAACATTTTGGCAATTTTAAGATCACATTCTATAGAAAATTTTTAATTCGAAGATCTGGAAATTGATCAATGATTTTCTTTTAAACATTATAACATTGATAAATTTAACTAAATGGTAATATATTAAAATTATATTTAAGGAATAACATTAAAATAAAACATTTTTATTTTTTTTATCATACTATAAAGGGACATTACTTTCTATTTTAACGATTTATAATACAGTATATTGAATCTAAAAAATAAACAAGGTAATAAATGCTATAAAGCACAGTTTACAAAATAACTCTTAGCATAAGCAAAGTAGCTATGCAATTAATTAAAAAAATTATTCATGGTAAGAAGTTTCCTTTTAATTTTTTCATAGTAAGAATTTTTCTTATGTAATTGTCTCAGAATATTCAGAATTTTGAGAATATGCATCAATTTTCTATATAAAATTAATTTTACACTTTTTTCCACAGTTTTTTTTTTCCCCAAAATGTTTCTGGCTTTTTCTCTATTACAGAATTGGTGAGACTAATTTTTCTTTAGTATTTTAAACATTGCATTTTTGTAAAATTTAGAAGGATCTGAAGGCAAGATTTACAGACCCACAATTCTAGAAGGCTCCAGAAAAATGTGACAAAATGAAAAATGTTGTCATTGTATTAGCACATAATGGATGTATTTTACAGAAAGCTTGTGATGAATTTCTTATGTTTTTGAAGGACAATGAAAACATAACGTTTGAATGTTATATGTCTGATACAGAAGTTGTTTTCTTAACATGTGTATCTTCCCTTTATTTCTCAACTTTTCACTAGATAAAATTATGGAAAATATCAAAAATGTTTTCAATCTTTTCGCATGGGCAGTTGCTTATAAAAAAGAATTTTTCTATTAAAAGAAATTGAAAACTGACAATTTAAAAAGTTCACCTTATACATGGCACAATAATACAAAACAATTGAATGACAATTGAAATAACACAAAACAACTTATCACCTCTGGTGCATTAGTGGCTTATTGGAACCTTAAAATATATTAACAAGGTTAGAATGCTAGAAACTCTACATGAAGCTGTAACACTAATTGTGTCAGACTGATGGAACACAACTAACTTTTAAAACTTGCCAACCTCAAAACTACATCATACTTTCAGGTTTGTTCTGATTAACAGATCTCTCTCTAGGCTAGCAGCAGCACTGGCAACAGCCAATATTCTGTTACAAATCTTGCTGCTTATGATTTTATTTCACATTTTAACCTATGCCATTTGACAGAAAATCTACCTGCTATATACTAAACCTCTAGACTGAGCAAGTACATGACAAAATGTGACATAAAAGAAAAAATCAGCATAAAGCTAACTGTTAATATAATATAAATAAAATGTCCCTAATCTTCTTTCAAATATGTCCAACTATTATTCATGTAAAATATTTAATGCTGCTTGATAAATTTTATAAAGTGAATCTTATTCTCAAATGAATTTCATAGTTATGTTTATTAAATTATGTTTAATAAGAATGCATCCTACTTACAGATCTATTTTATTCTTAGACTGTTATTACAAAAGTGAAGACATAAGTTGATTGAATTTAGTTAAATTTATTCAGCTCCTTTTTGCTGATAAGTCCTTAATTTTTTTCATTAATGGACCTTAAAAGTACTTAAATTCCATGTGCAGAAATGTGTGCGAACCCTGTTACAGTGTGCGAGTTTAAATTTTTTGTTAACATGAAAAATAATTTGTAGTGAATATGTATTTTAATGATATACTTTTATAAATTGTTTGCTAAAACTGTATTATATCTATAAACATAATTTTAATTATATACTTTTTCTTGTCATAATAAAATATAAAGGAGTTATTTAATTAATAAATAATCATTATACATCATTTTATGAAAATTAATATCAACTATTAAATTGTATAAATTATGAGTGTTGTAAGTTTTACTAAGAGGTTTAATACTTTATTATAATAATACATTGTAATTTTTAGTGGCATCTGAGACAAATAAAGCAATAGATTTAAAAGAGGCCTTTGAGCAACAACTTGTAGATTTTGAAAATCAGGTGAGAATATTTTATGTCTGTTTACATATTCTGAGTTTTATGAATATAAAGTGGTGAAGAAAGACAAAGCTTCTTTTATGTGCTTCTTTTACACTGAAATTAATGTCAATATAATGTTGGCATCTGTTGTTAATTCATGTTTATATGCATTTTATGCATTCATTACCAGTTACTGTTTTGAAATGCTGGGTGATCCAAAAGTGACAGGAAAGATAAAAATTCATTAATTGAAAAGTGTAGATACAAGATGCAGTTTTCACAGAAAGATATGGGATTCTTTAATTTTTTTTTTTTTTTTTCTCTACCCAGAATAGTTACATTTTTTCACTAAAAGATGTTGTTTTCTTTATGTTAGAAGTTTAAACAGTGGTGCTATAGAATTCACAAACAAAAAAGAATTACAAATGTTTACTGTAACAGCCATGATTCTTGAGACTGGTCACCAGATACAGTATGGCAGTCTGTACAGAATCGAAGAAGATTCAATTATAATTCCTGCCACATGATGCTGAATAACTTCTTTCAGCATAGCCAATGATACTGCTTGACCTTTGTACACCTGTCAAAAAAAATGTAACTATTTTGTCACTAACCTGTCTGTTAAGATAAATGTAACAATTCTGACAATAAATTTTTTTTGTTATTAAAAAATATCCTACATTTGTGCATATCTGTAAAAACTGCATCATGCTACTGTCTACGTTTTGAATTATTTTATTATTATTTTTTTTTCTGTTACATTTAAATCACCCTGTAGATAAATACATTTTGCTTTTAAAATGTTATAAAAAAACTTAGTACAGTACAAAGTCCATAATCCGGACTCGTCGGAACTTCGGCAATTCCGGATTAGGGTTTTATCTGGATTATAGATCATCAATTTAAATCTGGTAAGATGGCATGCAGAAATTATACAATTAAAAATATGAAACTGTAATTTATGAAATAAAAAGCAATTATGATCTAAAGCAAGGATGTCAAACTCGCGGCCCACAATAAATATTTTTGCGGCCCGGCAATTATATCGGCAAATAATAATATATAATAATAAAATAACATATCGATGAAGAAAAAAATGAAATGTTTACTGCTAAGTAATTAACGATAATTTATTCAGTGTTGTTAGATTACTCACAGCGAGCTGACACACACACTACTTAAATTACAAATGCGTGTGAGTAGCTTGCTTTCAGCTACCTTCGGCTTTTGGGGGACACGCGCACTCAGAACTTGTACGCATCCCCCGATAGCCGAATGTGGCCGAACTCATGGTCTCAGTTTTCCAATCTTAGTTTTGTATGATATATTGGTGCATGCATGTGCATGCACTTTGCTTTATTATTAATTATTACTTAATTCATATTGTTACGGATTTCATAATTATTTATTTATTTAGAATTGTAATTAGATTTGCTTCATGTTGCCTTAGCAACGCAGACGATTTTTGAAAAAGACAGCTGCGTTGAAAGGTTAAAAATAGAACGTGCATTTAATACCTAATAAATAAATATCTTGTAATTGCTGTTGCCATCCACAAAAATCCAGATATTTATAGATGTTTCCAGTATATGCGAGAAATTAATTATAAAGCATATAAAAGCCGAGAACAAACAACTCATCTCAGTAGTAGTTGTAGTTCTAGGTAACTGTTTGTTTACTTAATGCTGTGATTGATTTGTAGCGATTTTGCTGTGAGATAGAATTAATTTCTCTGTTTTGAATTGATTTTTGCTAAATGTTTGACATTTTGTGATATTGTTAGAATATTTTTGAAGAAATATTTCAGCATTTTGATTTATCTCTTGTGGGAAGAATAAATTTTTGTTAACTTTTTAACGTTAACCATGTTTATTCCAGCCCTTTGTATTCAGTATGTCTATATCAAAACCAAGTGGTAGTAAAATTAAACAAAAAATCGCTGATGGACATAGAATATTCCAAGTAAAATGGGAATTAGAATATTTTTGCAAATAATTATTCCAAATTATTCGAAATAAATCTACGTTTCTATGAATATTGATTTTTTTTTGCGCTCCGCCTAAAGTTAAGCCTTGTTTGTTTGGCCCAAGTGTACCTATGAGTTTGGCATCCCTGATCTAAAAAGTATCAAATTTTACAAAAAAAAAAAAAAAAAAAAAAAAAAAAAAAAAAAAAAAAGCTTAATATTTGTTTACTTTATTAAACATTTCTTTCAAGAAAAATTTGTCTTTTTTGATAGAATTACTTTTATTGTTCAATTATATAAATTAACTCTACATATTATTTTGTTAATCTTTGTACTGCAGGATATAATAATGTTCTATTGCACATATGTATACATATAGCTTTCATTAAGTAATGCTATGCATATTCCATTTTAATTATTGAATTATTTGAAGGTGAACTAAGCTGTTCAGTTTTGTTTGTCTCAAAGTATTGAATTTCTACAATTTTATCAGTATTTGTGACAGATGTTTAATTTCTAGTAGTAATACAATAAGAATACTGAAAGTGCATGTCGGGATTTGATTTGCCTAAATATATTACTGTAAAATCGATACTGTATGACCTGAGAAGTAAACCACACTTAAATACAAGTGTGCATATTAAATGTACAGAAAATTGTATAACACGGACTTATAGTACAGTTCAACTAATGAAAATGTATAATGCTTTCACTTTGCCTATTAGGGCAGAATAAGGACAAATTTTCAGTCTTCAAAGTCCAATGTGAAGTAGGCTGGAAAAGCAATTATTCTAAACTCTGTAAACAAATATAAACATGAGAAAATATTATTTAGAATTAAAAGCTGACTTAACAGAAGAAATATTAATGTATTTTTTAAAATATCAGTTCTTGAAAACTTTCTATCACCGCAGTAAAAAGGGAACATTTTTTTCCAAACTTCTATTTCATTAATTTTTTAAATGCTGCACTTTGGTTGAAGATTAAGAAGTATTATTTGCTGATAAAATTACATTAAAACACAATTATAAAAACTATAGAAAAAGAAATTTCTAAAAAAATTTTTTTTGTCATTAATTTTTAGCTTGTTCCCATATAGAAACACTGGTGTGTGGCAGTAGACCTCTGAACTTGTTTATCAGTTTTAGTAAATTAGCATTAAATCTTTGCTTTTACGCACATATTTTAAAGAATTCTGACTAAAAAATTTTTATGGAACAAATTATTATTAAATTTATTAAGAAGTTAAAACAGTCAGCTTATGCAAACTTGAAATAGTTCTGACTAAAATTTTAAAATGGGATAGATAAAATTCAATCATCTCTAAGGCATATATTTTTTTTATCCATGTGCTTATAAAAATTAGGAATGGACAAATGTGAAATCACATAGAAATATAAACTACAGAAAATAATTCACAACAAATTCAAATATCGTACAGGAACAATTGAAAAATATCAATAATAATTTCATTAGAATCATCTGATAAAGCTGATAAAGCCTCAAGATAGTCTTACGTTTCTTCGTTTAAAAAAAAAAAAAAAAAAAAAAAAATTTTTTTTTGGAGGCAGCATATTTGGCACTGAACAGTCTGTATCTCAAAATGCAATGACACTGCAAAATCTACATTAAAATAAATGAGATATCCAGATGCAGCAATAAACATTCCACCCCTCTAAAGGGTGGGAACAAAACAAGGAAACTACCATGTTTGCTCACCTAATAGTCGCACTTTGTTTCGGCAATTTTTTATTGTGGAAATCTAGGTGCAACTGCTATGTGGGGAAATCTACTACACAATATTATACACTTTTGGAAGATTTTTCCTGCTTCCAAACGGGGGTGCGACTATTATGCAAGAGTGACTGTAACGTGAGTAAATATGGTAAACAGGGAAAACTAAACAAGAAATGAACACTTTTTCATACTGCTCCACATTCAATAGCAATAATAGTTTTAAATGTCATTTTTCTACAAGTACAGCAAAGTAATATGATTTAAAAAAATCATGTAATTTTGTACTATGAAACATGTTATTGTTCTCATTTTAGAACGTGCAAATTTATTTCCTTATATAGCAAGCACATTTTTTTGTCAGAATATTTATAGCTAATGTTTTTTCATTAAAACAAGCCTTATTAATATTATTATTCATTCAATTTTAAATTTTGATTTATTTTGTTATTTTGGGGAAATTTTTAAGTGATGCAATGTCAGAGTACTAAAAAGACTGTTTTTTATAAAATTTTCTGTCCCTGAGAATTTATTTCTAAACCGTAATTTTCTTGCCAAAACTCTAGCATGCCTTTTATTATAAATAGTAATTTAAAGCATTTAAATAAAACTGTATTTTTAATTTAATTTTAAACTTTATGTTCCCATTTCGGAACACTGGCATGTAAAAGGTTAAACATAGGTTACAGAAATTTGATGCCTTTAAAGAAAAATCCTAGAGTGCCTATTAATGAATTTAAATTATTTTGAAATCTGAATTAGTTAACTACTTGTTTTCTGTTTTACATGATGCTTTTAATGTAACTTCATTTGCTACTTTGAGATTTTTCTCATTTAGCGGGAATCTTTTCTCAACATGCTTAGAAGTGTTGAAAGTGAGAAGAGCAAACTTTCTCAAGAACTTCAAGAATTTAGAAAAGTTTCAGAAACTTTGACAAAAGAAAAAGGTTAGTGTGTTACCATTTTTAGATAAAAATTTCCAAAAATAATAAATTGTATATTTGTATATATATACTAATGCTAATATTTTGTCTTCAATTTTATAAGTAGGTATAATTTTTTGTTCATTTGCAAAGTTCGACTGTCCGAGTCCTGTAACTGCCACATCAGGAATTCTCAGTAAACTTTCAGTTGAAGTTTTTTGATTTTCAACAACCTCTCTGTCACTTTTTTCACTTTGGTAATGACATTTTCGACATTTAAAACCATGCTACAGATTTCTTGATCCATTATATGATTGATGATTGGGGCATTGTCATTGCAATAAAAAACTTCTGCTATATCACTTTCATTTATTCCCATTTCTCCACATTTCTTGTAAAAATTCTATTAACTGAATTTTACCTTTTTCTGTTTATTTTATATGTCTGAAAAACCTTCAAATTTTCAGCTGTCATCATAAAGCTCAGCTTGCGTCTACTATACTTCAAATGTATTGATATTTGATGAGATAAAAACATGTTGTTGTAACATTATGTAACATTGTTGTTTCATGAGATAAAGACATGTTGTTCATGACTAAATACATATCGCTCTGTTAAATTTATCTTGCTTCCATCACATGCTGACAAAGTAAAGCTTGAGTCATATTTATTATAATTCCTGCACATGCTGAAGGCTGAATATCGAATAAATAAATTTCCATGTATACTTAAGGTTTATCCAGTGGTGCTAGACATTTTGCTGCTCATTATAGTTTCTGTGGGCCCTAAATTATGCAGCCAAGTATCTCTCAGAATTCTTAAAATTTTGCATCCTAGTGCCTCCCCTAAGTTCTAAAGATTTTCCCTGCCTTAATTTTACTTTTTGGTACTTTGGTTTCTAAAAGTCTTCCCTAAATTCTTCCACCTGCCAAGGCGCTATTCTCAATTCAAGCAGCCCTAAATGTAATTTTTTGCCCCATAAGTTTCATTTACAAAATCTGCTTTATGTATATGGAAAGCAATTTATGTTAAATTTCACTTAATGCTTCTGAAGTTAACTGAAGTCTAATCACTTTTGAAGTTAACTGAAGTAACTTCAGAACTAACACTTCTGAAGTTAACTGAAGTCTGTAGTCATCGGCAAGCATCGCAACAACATAAAAGGTTTCCGTGGTGTTGCTAAAAAAAGTCAATAATTGCTAATATTAAAAAAAATTTTTTTTTAGACATTACTGCATGAGTCATTTCTTAAGCTGTGGCGTGTCGATAGTGATAAAAGCAAAAAATAATAAATAATTATTCACCAGGTTAGCATCAGTGTCCATGAGGGTTGCTGAAGTATGATGCTCTATATTTTGAAAACCATTCTTCAATTAATAGTTACAGTTCTGCTGACTTTGGCATTGTAGAAAGCTGAATCCATAAAATAAGTTTGGATTAAATCACCAACTCAATGAAGCTACTAACTTCATGATAACATATTTTTATTTAACATACACACAAAAAAAATATACAAAATAATTTTTAATTTGTTAAACTATCAGCAGAATAACCTGTTGATAATGACATGCACACGCCTTCTCTTTTCACTTATGCATCCATGACAGTGTCCACATTTTTCAAAGTTTCCTTACCGGCATTTGTTTTTGAATCATGCACATCCCTCCTTGGAAAGCATAATACATCTTTTTAGAGACAATACACACAGTCAGAATCTAAGTTTTATTTTTCATGTACCCCTGTATCATTGCACCACTGAATCATCATATCCCTGCACAAAGTGCTTCCTAGAATGGGTCATTTCACTGGAATACACTAGATGGCATATATATAAATCATTGCATGTGCAATACTTTTTATGATAATATGACAAAATTCATAATTTCATATAACATTTAATATGAGTGTATGGTATGTATATAGTAACATTTAGTTACCATGGTAATTACAGACAGACCTCTGACAGTAATTCTTAATATTTATAATAGAGGATAATATATAATAATTTTTTAAATACAATAATAATGACAATAACATATGCATGTTTTTGTAAAAATTGTAGACATTATATTAGCTCGATTTATTCTGTATACAATGCTACCCAGTCACTGAATTGTTGTTGGGTAATCTGGATAAAGCATCTGCGTTTCCGTGTTGTCATCCCTTTTGATATGAAATCTTGATGTTATACCTTTGTAAAGCCCCAGTGCCCAATGCAGGAACTTGGCTCCACAGGCTTGAGTTTGCGTTAGATGTGTAAGAGGATTATAGTTGGATATGACCTGGACTTCTGCTTTGAAAATCCGTGTATCATACTTCTGAAAAGCTGCCAAAACACTGTAAGCATCTCTCTCAATTGTAGACATCTGCTTTAAGGAGATATTAATTTTCTGCTGAAAGATGCTATTAGATTTTTTTCTTTCATCATCTGTGTGTAACAGAGAGGCACCAAATCTTTGGAAAAAATTGACAAATCAATGTATGAGGAACTGCATTTTTATGTGGGCTTAATATGTTCTCGATTACTTTTTGAAATGTTCATCCTGCATTTTTCATTCCGAATGCTAATACTGTTCATTGTCCACTGATAATGGCCTGAGTACATCACAAACACTGTAAAATGTTTCTATTCTTCACTTATTGGAATCTGCCAATATTCCTTTGTCAGGTAAAACATGGTGATGTATTATGCTTTCCCAATCTCGTGAAGCAGTTTTGTTGCATGTTTCATTAGATATGCATCTTGACCTGTAAATTTATTTAATAATTTTAAATGGACACATAATCGTTCATTCTCCCTTTTTTTTTTTTTTTTTTTTTTTTTTTTGTTATGCATGCAAAGGATGATCCCAGTTGTTATCACTAGGCTCTATTAATCTAAGTTTGAGCAGCTCACTAGTTTGTTGATCAACTTCGTGAAAGACAATAAGAATTTGATATGGGTGTAATTCTCCTCCCCCTAATTTGCCTAGGAATAACTCTCACAGAATGCCCATCAACTTTCGCACTACCAGAATTGCTACTAAAAGCATCGGTAAATTGGCATAACTTATTACCAAGTTGATGACATTGATATTTACCTAGTCATCCATGTCAATTTTCAGTATACTTCCTTATACTACCTAAGAAAATAATTTTTCTTTTTTTTATTCATATTATCATATGCTATAGGTGAGCACTTCATAGCTTACCTTGCAAATAATCTAAATAGGATTCAGTGGTATGAGAAGTGGTGACTGGTATATCTCTTTTACGAGTCCAAAAGTCCTTAACATGTTCGCTGCCATGAGTATCACTGGTGGATCTCAAAAATTTTTCATTCTGTGCTGCGAGCATCACCTGTTGATCACAGGTATCTTTCCACATAATATTAAATAAAAGTCTTGGACAATTTAGAAGGGACTTTATATTTGTATGTGGCACTCGAATAATTTTTCTTAAAAAATATTCAAACATGGACACTTTGCAGCATCTATTATCGGCTCAGCAAAGCATATATATATTTTTTTCTTTTGCAGATATGTGTGAAGTAGGCAATAATTTTACATTTTTAAGCTAAAAAGTATTATTTTTATTGAAAGAAGAAATTATAAGATTTTGATTCATTTACCAAAATATTGGTATTTTTTCTCATATCTCTTATTATTTACAGCCAATAAAGCCTTTACAAACAAATTAAATTAGTCTTTATAAGTTTGGCATTGGGGTGATTAACTTCCTGTGGGAGCAGTGAACTTGTTAATTCATGTTAATGATTCTGTTCGAAGACTACCATACACCATTTGGTAGGGAGATATACCAGTGATGCTGTGGTAAACTTCAATGTATGCAAATGACAAAAATGGAAGATGCAAATCCCAGCCGTGGTAATGGTTTTGAATGTTCAGTATTTCTTTCAATGTTCTATTCCATCATACTGCTTCACCCATACTTTCAAGGTAACCAGGGGTTGAAAATCTGGAAGGTATCTGTAAAACTCTAATAAGGCCTTTTTCAGCTACAAAGTAAAATAAGTCCCTTGGTCAGTGCAGATAATTTTGTGAAAATCTGCTTGGGTAAAAAATGTTCATGAGAACATCGCAAGTCATTTTTGCTTGCAGGTTTCTTACTGACACTGCCTCTGCCCACTGTGAACACAACCTACTGCACAAATAATAAATTTATCTCCCACATGTGATGGTGGTTCAAATGGACCAATACAGTCTACACTACTTTGGGTTCTCAGGTCTTACAAGTGGCTGAATAAGAAGCCTATTTATGTAGGTAACTGTTCTAAGCTAACACTGCTTGCAGCTCTCACAGTATTCTTTACATCACTTTTAATCATTGGCCAGTCAAGTGAATATGCATAGCCTTTTCTTCTGTTCACCTAAGTCACCTGCTATGGAAACATTGTGTGCTATTTTCAAAATGTATTCTTGCTTATATAAGAGTGATACTACTTGTTTCGCTCTTTTCTTCACAAATCACTTTGGCATGCATTAATAATTCGTACTCTAAACTATACGAGTTTTGATTATTCTTGGCTAAAACCCAAAGTTTTCCCAAGGATTCACCTTCCCAATGGAACTTCATAAACGATTTTCTAGTTTCACTTCTTGATTGGTTCGTTGGAACTTCAGCGATTCCGGATTAGGAGTTCTTCCGGATTATAGATCATCAATTTAAATCTGGTAAGATGCCATGCAGAAATTATACAATTAAAAAATATGTAATAAAGAGCAATTATGATCTAAAGTGTATCAAAATTTACAAAAAAAGAAAAAAAAAGCTTAATATTTATTTGTTTACTTTATTAAACATTTCTTTCAATGTTTAAGTTGCTTCATTTTTTGTGCTAATACTTTCTCTTTAATTCTATAAGCAGACATAATTTCTTGTTCAGTTACAAATTTCCACTGTTCAAGTCCTGTAATTGCTGTGTCGAGAATATCGACTAACTTGTCAATTGAAATGTTTTCGTTTTCAATAACCTCTCTGTCACTTTGTTCACTATTGGAAGTGGTATTTTCTGGACCTAAAAC